TACTACTACTACTACTACTACTACTACTACTACTACTACTACTACTATTTTCCAAGAATGCTTGCAGTCTATGAGGCCCAAAGCATTCCTAAGTTTAATAAAGACCGTTAGAGACTGGGTCTCCGTCCTTCAACATACCTAGTCCCCATGCCCATTCTCTTTTAAACAAGAAAGCCGGAAGAATAAAACAAAGCGTCCTTGAATGAAGAGCCTGAAAATACCACAGGAAGCATCACACACCAATATTTAAAAATACAATATGGGCAGCTTCAGTGTTATTTCAATCCTAAATTGAAATTTCTGATTATTCAGTACGCAGAAAGCTGGAACGCATAATTCAGCAAATAAAATAAGGGGCATGAAAATATTGTTTTGTCATTCCAATCTTCCATGTACTGGGCAAAGGTGTGAAAATTAAGAGAATTATTTAGGACAAAGTTTAATTTTTGTCTTCCCTTCCATTCAGCCTACACAGAAGACTGAAGACATAATTCAAGTTTCATCCTAATACAACCGGAAGCTCTAAGGTTAAGGAAGACTACTTTGTGTTGCATAAAGGAGTACGGACAAACAACAGAAACCTTGTAGAACAGAAGGATCTACCCAGAATTGTACCTTGCCTTAAGAAAGCAGGGATACAGAAAGAGGCAGACAATAACTTTAGGGCAAGGGTGGGCAGCTATGACAACTTTATGACCTGTGGCCTTCAATTCCCAGAATTCCTGAACCAGCTCAGGAATTCTGGGAGTTGAAGGCCACAGGTCATAAAGTTGCTTTATGGCTTGGAGCCCCAATTAGAGCTTAAATTAAATTGGTCATTAAAGCTAACAGATTCAGAGGTGAGGTAGGAAAAGAAGTGGGTACAGAGATGAACAGAAGGTGAGCTGAAGGCAACCCACCTTCTTCAACACTGCTGCTGAAATTGGCAAACTCCAGGAGTTGATCCAAATGCTGCATAAGCAGTGGGCCAAAGCGATGCATCCTGCTAAAAACAAGGATTGAGAAGGAAGTTAAAAAGACAGAGCAGGACCTAGGAACCTAGGAACTGTTTTGCCTTAAGCACAGCCAGTGGCGAATTAAAGCTCACTGGTGCCCTAAGCACTGACAAATCTTTGTGCCCCCTTTCTTTGTACATACTGTACAAACAAAGATAAGCTTAGGCTACATAAAAGTTTTTGTGGTGCCCCTTTTGTGCCTGGTGCCCTAAACATGTGCTTAGTCTGTTTAAGGTTAATACACCACTGAACACAGCACAAAGCAAGCCTACTATGAAACCATAAAACAAACGGTCTTCAGCTTTTTCCCTTCAGCAGCCAAGCTCAACCTCAGCACTGCTTGAAAAATTCTGCAACAAAAGCCTCTTCGCCTTTGTTGTAGAGTTTGGTTTGCCTTTTTCCTCCCCTGCCTTCCAGATAAATTTATGTTTGAGTAAAAGACTTTCCCCATTTGCTATTTTTACTTGGTTGATTTAATTTCAGTATGACTGTCAAATATCTAGCGGAGACACCGGTTCTCAGTCCATTGTGCTTTCTGTTAATGTTTTAAGGGAAGAGAGGAAACGGTATAAAGAATAAAATATATTCTGATATAAAACTTCTCACAATGAATTCCCACACCCAGAATACCTAGCCATTCGCTAGTCATGTTGTGTAAAATTCTGGGAAATGAAGTCCAAATCATGCCTGGATCTTTCTCCTAGGAAATCCTGTGTTTTTAGGGGAAAAAACCCAACATCCTTGCCAGACTAGGGCCTGGGACATGAACGGGCGGGAGGGAAGAACGGCGAAAGGTGAACTCCCATTCCACGCTTTTTAAATACCCCCCAATAGAGCAAAATGAATTGTAAGCAAACACACCCTGCAACCAAACCTCCAAATGTTAATCAATCCCGGGCGCAAATGTTGGCTTCCCTCAGAGTCCCGTCTGCTCGGAACGCCTCGTGTTATGTGAAGAAAATCCCTCCGACCCCTCGGTTTAAAAAGAGTGGTTCCCGCCCACCTCTTCGGCTTCGAGAAGTAAAGGTGGTAAATTAAGGCAACTGCCTTACGAGGACGGGGGGTTTCAACGGAGTCTCTTGGCTTCCTTTAAAATTTCCACCTCCTTCCTTCACCCTTACTAGAAGTGGCCAAACTGGGTGCCTGTTCGCGCTTCAGATTTATGATATTACGTTGCATGAAGATAATTAAATGCCCTGTATTTTACTTGGAGGCTTCGTTGTTGTTTTAATATTCGCTTCAGAACTATTGGATTAAGGGAGTATTTGTTTTCATTTAAGGTGGCTATTCTGCTCAAAAGACATGGTGACCTACAATTTTCTGTTCTAGGTTTGCATATACAGTCATCTTGAAATGAGGACTAGCTACCCGCCTGTGCCCAACGGTGCTTTTTCAAGGGGCAACTGGACTTTCTGGTTTTTCTTTGAAGACGTTTTTGCTTCACCTCCAAGAAGTTTCTTCAGCTCTGACTGGGTGGTGGGGAATGGAGCCGAAGAAGCTTCTTGGAGGAGAAGTGAAACATCTTCAAAGAAAAACCAGAAAGTTCCATTGGCCTCTTGGAAAAGCACCTTTGGGACAACCATGACCTGGATGACTGAGAATCTCCATGGACATCGGTTAGCATATCCAACCTCTAGGGTTAACTAGTGCAAACCATTTCCAAAAGATGGGTGCCTTTTGGGAGAGCTGTGCAATTAATCAAGTCATAAGATTTAGTTTTAAATTGCTGCATACAGAGTTCTGGTTAAATAATGGCTTTAATTCAGTTGGGGTATAAATGCAACCAGAAACACAGACTGAGCCACAAAGTAGCTGACCCTTGTTTAGCCTATCATTTGATGGAAGTCAGCCAGCTCTTAAGACTGTTTTCATGTGTGGCAGGAAGGCTGGTGGGCAGATGCCCCTAACAGTTGAAAAAAAAAAAAAGTTGAAAAGCCTAGTGAAACTAATCTGTTTTTTTCTGCTTAGCAAGGATGGAAGAAGGATTGGTGGGGAAAGGTCTCCAAGTAGAAAATGATTTTGAATAGATCCTTCCCAAGTGCAATGTAGTAAGATAACTATTGTATAGCAATAGCATTTAGACTTATATACCGCTTCATAATGCTTTACAGCCCTCTCTAAGCAGTTTACAGAGTCAGTGTATTGCCCCCAACAATCTGGGTCCTCATCTGCCTGGAATCCACACTGTATAATGGACATTAATACAGTTGAATGAGTTCAGAGGTATTTCACGAGAAGAGTACTCTATTCCTCAGCTCGCAATAGAATACCTTATGCCAGAAGGCTGGAACTTTTGGACCTAGATAATTTAGAACTACACCACCTATGGTCTGACCTAAGCTTAGTACACAAAATTGTCTGCTACAATGTCCTATCTGTCAATGACTACTTCAGCTTCAACCACAATAACACGTGGGCAGACAACAGATACAAACGTAAAGTAAACTGCTCCAAACTCGTTTGCAGAAAATACAACTTCAGCAGAGGTGGGTATTCAGCAGGTTCTGACCAGGTCTGGAGAACCGGTAGTGGAAATTTTGAGTAGTTTGGAGAACCGGCAAATACCACCTCTGGCCTGCCCCCACCCCTATCTATTCTCTGCCTCTTGAGTCCCAGCTGATCGGCTGGGTCTTCTTTTGTTGCCCTGCACAGGAGAAGGGAGCTGGAAAGCAGGTTAGTGGGGTGGGGAGGGAATGGGGGTGTTGCAGTAACCCCCCCGCCACACCCACCAAGCCACACCCACAGAACCGGTAGTAAAAAAATTTGAATCCCACCACTGGATTTCAGCAACAGAATGGTCAACATCTGGAACTCACTACCTGACTCTGTTGTTACATCCTCAAACTCCCAAAATTTTAACCTTAAACTGTCTACCATGGATCTCCCTCCATTCCTAAGAGGTCTGTAAGGGGTGGGCAGAAGCGCACCAGCGTGCCTACCGTCCCTGTCCTACTGTTCCCATTTATTTGTACTCATTTATTATGTAGATACTTATACCTGTTTATACTTAACATGTTTATATGTTATGTTCATATAAACTTATATTTGTTTTCTGATCCATGCTTGACAAACTAAACTAAGCTAAATAAATAAATAATTTTACTGATTTCGGAAGTGTGGAAGGCCGAGTCACCCATGATAATATAGAGTCAAAGCTTTAGCAAGAAACACAGAGAAATTGTCATTTTTCCTCCTCCAGCATGACCCCATAGATATACTGCATTCTAGCTGTATTTTTTTTTTACCATTTATTTTTACCAGGCTAAACCATTAAGGGAAACAATGGGAAAGCTTTATAGTGTCATGCAAAAGTTCATTATTTTTCCATTGGCAACTCTCTATGTCAATTTATTTTAGTCAATTACACAATAACATATTATATATGTGTACACAATATTATTATATAGTATCAATGCATTTATGTAGTTACAAAGTTTTCATTTTTTTTCCTTTAAAACATATGGAAACCATTTAACATTTTAAAAATCTGTTAAAATGTGCATGCATATGATGACTCTACAAAAGTTACATTATCTAAGGAATATGTAGGAGTTACAGTGTATCATATCTCTGTGAGGAAAAATATAGAGGGATATAAATAAGAAAAACTCCAGTTTCAAATAATATGATCATTGGGACTCAGAGACACCTGTCTGAAAACAACCTTTGCAATCTGAATTAAAAGCTAGCGATGGTGAAAATGCAGTGCAGGTAGTCCTTGACTTACGACCGCAATGGAGCCCCAAATTTCTGTTGCTAAGTGGGACCTTTGTTAAGTGAGTTTTGCCCCTTTTTACCACCTTTCTTGCCACACTTGTTAAGTGAATCATTACAGTTAAGTTAGCAACATCGTTAAGTAAATCCAGCTTCCCCATTGACTTTGCTTGTTAGGAGGTTACAAAAGCAGATCACATGACCCTGTGGGGCACCGCAATTGACAGAAATAGGAGCCAGTTGCTAAACATCTGGATTTTGATCAGGTGACCGGGGGGGTGTGCTGCAATGGTCATAAGTGTGAAAAATGATCATAAGCAGGGGTGGGATTCAACCGGCATTACTATTGGTTCGGTGACTATGTTTTGCACGCGTGTGTAAAAAAACCTTAAGCTATGCCTCCCGGACAACTGAAAAGCCCTGCGTGCAGGTGCGCAGAATTTGAAAAGCTGCTTTTTCAACCGCAGCTGTGCTGCACAAAGCAGCTGAGGTTGAAAAAGCAGGAAATAAAGGACAGGTAAGAGCCCAGGTGGGCGGGTGGGCCAAACAGCAGCAAACACAGAACCGGTTCGGTGTCTGCTGCTCTTCAGAGCTACCGGTTCTACAGAGCTGGACAGAACCGGTAGCATTCCACCCCTGATCATAAGTCACTTTTTTCAGTGTGGTTGTAACTTTGAATAGTCACTAAATGAACTGTTGTAAATCAAAGATTATCTGTATGTCAGTTTTTGGATGATGGTTGCAAGAAAATGCCATGATAAAGTAAGTGAAGAAAGCATGGTGATTTGACACTAGTTCTCTGAAATAAAAAAGATATATTTTCCACCTTTTTTTCCTATGCCTGTTAAGTTTTTTCAACCATTCTTTATCAAAGAAATGCAAAGAAAATTACCAGACAGACAAGTTCCTTTATTTTAAAATATTTTCATCCTGCTTTTCTATTTAAAAAGCCCTTAGAACAGCTTTTAAGATTTACTTACAGTGTATCCATGTGGTTAACTACATACTCACAGAATAATAGGTCAGACAATTTTGCTGTAATTGGAATCAGTCGCAACTACATTCAATTCCGTTTAAGCTCAACCCAAATTTAAAAAATACTTATGAACAATATTGCTCTTCCTATATTTAATACAATTCTTTCTGCCCCATCATATATTACAGTTTGCTGGTAACGTTGAACAAAGAAATGAGCCCTGAGACCATAGATAAGGTAGCCCTGCTCAGTGGCCTCTTCAGTGATGTCGAATATCCAGGTCAGAGCAAAAGATTTAGCAGATAAATTACTAGCTCGCCTTCTCAGTTCAGTGATGTTCCTCTGCCTTGAACAAACTATTGCACATGCTCAAAACCTGCACTTTTGAAATAAGATCCTCATCTTGACACAGAGCAGATCTAAGACAGATTCCAAATCTACCCAAGACAGCCAGTTGCAAAATTCAGAAGAAGGCCTAAACCAGTGATGCTACAGTATTGGCCTTCTGAAGTAAGTCTCTTTCCTCCCCTTCTCCACACTTAACAATAGCTCTGTAGCTCTGTTTTTCAGACAGCCATTCTAAGGAGTGTGGATTTCTACTCCAAGAATTCTGGGAGTTGAAGTCCACACAACTTAAAGTTTAAAACTCACCACTCTAGAATTTGTTCTGTTATCTCACACACATATAAAAAGCAAGCCTAGCTTATTTCATTTAATACCCTAATGTACGATTAAAGAGAAACCCAATGGTGCTTTTTCAAAAAGCAACTGGACTTTGTTTTTCCTTGAAGTTGCCTTTTGAAAAGCACCTTTGGGATAACCATTTTTAGTTTGAGACCAATTTTTCTGTAGCTTTAATTACATTTACAAGAGAATGGTAGTGATGATGATAGCAGTAGCAGCTTGTGTACCTTACTGGCTAGCTATTTGGGTGCCTAAACAAACAAAAACAAACAAACAAAAAAGACTACTGTATGACTACTTCATGATCCTGTAGGACTATTTTAAATTTTGGTTCCAGCTTGACTTCATTACACTGACAGATGTGCTGCATAGAGGCCAGAAATAAAACATACCAGTATAACAGTCAGGCCTTGGACATTTTTATGTTCAATAAACTGTAAATAAATACCTTGTGATATAAACCATTTGATGCATTTTAAAGCTCCAGTAATAATTTTTATTCATTTTCACCTCTTCTTCTATGAAAGTTTAGTCAATATGTCTGTGTCTGTGTTTGCACATGCATGTATTTGCACACACACGTGCCAATGACAACTTTTCAATCAGTGCTTCCATGCTCTAAACAGCCAATGTCTGTGTGTGCATGCATGCACATGTGCACATGCCAAGAAAGTGCCTCCATAAACAGTCCCTCCCTCCCTCCCTGCCCCCCTCTCTGTATATGTGTGTGTGTGTGTGTGTGTTGATGCATGTGCCTGTACAAACCTTTCAGTAATGATTCCTGGTGACTCTCTGGACAATCTTCCCACAATTTTCTGGGCAGGGTTTTCAGAAATGCTGTGGACTTACCTGCTTCCTAAGGCTGAGAGAGAGAGTGACTGGCCCAGGTCATCCAGCTGGTTTCGTGTCTAAAGTGGGACTGGAACTGGAACTCAGGGTTTCTCAGTTTCTACCCAGGCATTTTAATCTGTAGATCTGGCAAGTCTAACAGCCAGTTAGTTTGCTGATTTTTGCTTATCAACTTGCTAGTGGACAAATTTGTAGAGGCTTCTTAGAAATCAGGTAAGCGTATTTCCCACTAATAATATACTTCATAATTTATATATATTTTCATCTTTTTTCCTACAAGGAAACCTGTGTGGAAGCAAATTTTATTCTCAGGCATTTGTGATGGAGATTTAGCTGAAAGACTTACCCTAGTCCCCTTCATGGCCGACTGTATGTTTGAATCTCTAACCCCCAACTCTGCCTGCTATATACGTAGCATCCTGGTTTGAATATACAATAAGAATTATATCTGAGTTGTCCTTGTTACATTTATATAGCATCCAGCCAAAAAAGAGTGTTTTTCCTTGGATAATTCCAGTCATTCCACAAGCAATATTAATTATATTAGTTGTTATAATTAGTATGTTTATTTCATATGTCATCTTATGTTCTTTTCTGGCTATTTTTATATTAAAATAAATGTACCTGTACTCTGACTGCATTAATGAAGCAAAAACCACAGCCTCTGAACCAATGATTGCCAACTTCTCCAGGAATTCTTGGTAGCCTGCAAAGATGGCACTCGTATAAGATCTTCCCTGGCACTCATATATGGAGCGTGAACATGGAGAAAGCCTGAAAGTGTAATGGTATCTTCCCTTCTGAAATTTGCACTCAAGTGTACAAAATCCAGGGAAGAAGTTAAACTCCCGCTGTTTGAAGTGCAGTTTAGGCTCTCATCTCTGCTTCCAGTTTGGAGTAATTAGATTACATCATTTTCAAATATCTAAGGAATTATGTGGCAATAGTCCCAAAGGTGCTTTTTCAGGAGGCAACTGGACTTTCTTGTTTTTTGTTTTCTTCCTTTTTTCCTTTTTCTTTGGTTTCGCTTGAGGCAATAGAACGAACCGCACATCCTACATACACTTCTCTGAAAGGAGGGAGCATGTAGAATTGAAGGCAAGAAGGCCTCCTCCCATCCAAAGAGGATTTTTAATTGGCTGAAGCAACGGGGGGGTTGTTTTTTCATTCAGTTGTGTCACATTCTCAGAAATCGCCTGGAAAAGCCCCTATGGTTTTCTTGGTAAGGTTTTTCAGAAGTGATGTGCCATTGTCTCTGTCTTAGGGCTGAGGGAGAACGTGGCTAGCCCAAGGTGACCTAGCTTGGCTTTATTCTAAGCTTGACCACTGATTATTGGAAGCCCAGGAATGGGAAAGCGGGATGCTGGCAATCAACCTTATGGGTGTACTTTTGAGGGAAGCCTCAAAAGGCTGCAAATGTTGCTTCTGGTGAGCTGTCCATAGAAAGTCCACTAGTACAGGTAAGAGGGACACCCTTTAGACTGAATCGCACCTGAAGAACGGAGCACCTCAAACACTATGTCAGTAGACCATCCAGGACACAATCTCCATCCCAGAGCAGATTCTCTGCAGACTCTCGGGCTGAATAAAGCATTAAAGCACTGTGTGTCGCTCAAGGAAATCCAGGTTAATAGGCTTGTCTGGCACCAGCACAATACGGGAGAGAGGCTTCACATCTGTGCATTGTGGGTCTGGTCTGATCAAGAACTTCTGGATTATCTGGAAACAACCCAGAGAAAAATTGTACATTATTTCATGGGCCTCTTGTCCGGTTCTACCTTGCCTAAATCCATTCAGATAACAGGTAGTCCTCGACTTACAATAGTGACTTTCAAACTTACAACGGCACTGAAAAAAGTGACTTATGGCCACGTTTCACACTTATGACCACTGCAGCATTCCCACGGTCAAATGATTTACATTTGGATGCCTGGCAACTGACTCATATTTATGACATTTGCAGTGTCCTAGGGTCATGTGATCCCCTTGTACAACCTTCTGACAAAAAAAGTCAGTGGGGAAACCAGGTTCACTTAACAACCAGGTTACTAATTTATAACACCTGCAGTGATTCACTTAACAAATGTGGTAAACAAATTTCATAAAATGAGGCAAAACTCATTTAGCCAATGACTCACTTAGCAACATAAATTTGGGGCTCAATTGTGGTCATAAGTTGAGGACTATCTGTACTGATATTTGTTTCTGACCTCCTGCATCGCAGCATTTTATGACAAAATGGTTGCCAGTTGGCAAAGTCATGAGAATGGAGAAGGAATGACCTTTTCCTCCTAAAGTCGTATCCACGGATCACGTCATACTTAAAACGGTAGAGTTCCCAAATAAATACATTTTGTTCTCTTTTCTACATCTTCTGGCATAGGGAAATTGCTACTTCTCTGACTTTGGCTTTGCTTCTTGAAATGAGGAAGGTCGTCTTATTGTACCCCTTTGTTTCTATTCCAACTACCCACTGAAGTTAAATCTACTATGAAGAGCAATGGGATGGGAAGGAGAGAATGGTCAGTCCCGTAAAGACCATGAAGTCACAGGGTTTCCAAATATACCACATGCTTGAAGGATTAGACACAGGTAATCCTTGACCTACCGCTACAATTGGGACCAGAATTTCAGTTGCGAAACAAGGTGGATGTTAAGTGAATCGTGCCCAATTTTACGACTTTTTTTTGCTGTAATTGGTTCTTAAGTAATTTAGAGAAAAGCTACATGGATGATCAGGAGTCTGGAGGGGAAATCATATGATGAACGGCTAAAGGAACTAGGTGTGTTCAGCCTAAGGAAGAGAAGGCTCAGGGGAGACATGATAGCAGCCTTCCAATACTCGTGGGACTGTCACAAGGAAGATGGTGTAAATTTATTCTCCGTAGCACCCGAAGGCAGATAAAGGAGCAATGGGTGGGAAGCTCGTCAGTGGTAGATTCAACCTGGAAATAAAGAGGACTTTCCTGAGGGTAAGAATAATTAATCAATGGAACAGCTTGCTTCCCTGAGTTGTGGTTGCTCCATCGCTGGAAGTTTTCAAAAAATAATAATACTGGACAACCATTTGTCTGGAATGGTATAAGTAATCCTGCCTCGGGCCGGGGGTTGGACTAGAAGACCTCCAAGATCCCTTCCAGCCATCTGACTCTATGATTCTTATTGCAGTTGTTAGGTGAATCATGCAGTGGTTACTGGTGAGTCCAGTTTCCCCCATTGATCACCTCAGAGGTGGTATTCAGCAGGTTCTGACCGGTTCTGAAGAACCAGTAAGTGGAAATTTTGAGTAGTCTGGAGAACCGGCAAATCCCACCTCTGACTGGAGATTTTACAGTATCCTTCCCCTGCCACGCCCACCAAGTCAGGCCCACAGAACCGGTAGTAAAAAAAATTGTGAATCCCACCACTGGCGAAGACCAGTTGTAAGTCACTTTTTTCAGTGCCATTTTAACTTTGAACGATTGTAAGTTGGGGACTATCTGTATTTTTCATCTAACCCACCTTCCACCTTCTGGGAAACAGCTAACAAAATGTATATTTCCCCTACATTAACAGGCAACAAAAGGTCAGGGGAAAGGGTGGAATCCCGCTGATTTCCCTGCGGATGGAAACCAGACTTGAACCCCAGAAATGAAGTTGGAATTTCACTTTATTTTGCAGCCACGACATCACAGATCATACCGAGACTGGCACGCGTGCGCTCACACACAGAAACTACTTACCCGGATCAGAGCCAGGTGCATTTCAAGTTCAGCAATGCGACGCCCTACACAAGCACGGACTCCAAAACCAAAGGGAATGGAACTGAAAGGGTGAGGAGACACCTCTCTCCGGTCTCGCAACCAGCGGTGTGGCAGGAAGCGTTCTGGCTCCGGGAAGTTGGCCTCGTCATGCGAGATGCCGTAGTGAGCCAGCACAAAGAGGGTCTAAGCCCAATGGAAAGCACAGACAAAAAAAAAAAAAATTAGAAAAAGGATTATTACAGAGTAAGCCAACGGGAGATACTGCTTTTCAACAAGATTCTTCCTCAGGCAGATCTATGGTGATGGCAACAAACATGGGCAGAGTCAACACGGGGATCCCTTCCACGTGGGAGGGGATAGAATACTGGCATGTTTCCAAAATGCAAATGCTGTCAGTTGACGAAGATCAAGCTCTACGGCTTGTGTGCAACAGGAACAGAGTGTGTGCCTTCATCACCTGTGTTGGTATTGGCCTGTAGTGAGTTCTCAGACTGCATAGCTTACTTTATATTCCATAGGGAAACAATTATCTTATAAATAAAATTGCTTTCTAATTGAATCCTTGATCCTTATATATTCCAACCTGTCCATTTTCCTAGACTTTGCCTTACTTTGCCCAGCATGGACTGACATTCCTAATGAGTGCTAGCTTTCCTAGCATGGACTGCTTATTGTTGTGGTTAGCCAGCAGCAGGTGCGGAGGGCTAAGGAGAGTGAGGACTCAGATGAGGGGCCAGGACCATTAGGGAGTGTACTGCTGCCTTCAGAGATTGTGGGGGCTGGCAGCAGCAATGAGGAGATTCCCAAGGAGCCTGTGCCAAGTGCGCGCGCATGCAGGATTGCTCGCAGGAGAGAGCAGCTACAACAGCACGGGTGACTCGGGAGTAAGTCTGCAAGGTAATGGCCCCTCCTTCAAGAAGATAAAAGCCAGCTGTGCAGCGAACATTCTTTGTAGCAAGCAAAGACATTTTGAAACTCAGCCTCGTGGACATTACAATTGGTATTTGAAGACTCTTGTATTGTAAACTATTTCTTATAATGTTGTTTTTTTGGCAGCCTTGCCAAAACTTGGCAAGGCTCTTTCTTGTCGGAGCTAATTAGTTCGAAGCAGCCTTTTATCTGTGAAGAAACAAAATTCATAGATGAAACATTAAAAGGTTGTGCTGCTGCCTTTGTCTTGTGTTTGCTGACTTGGAACCAGGTTTGGGTCAGAACAGCTATCCCAATGATTACATTATATTTCACATTCTTTCTGGTGATTAAGCCCAATTCACTTAGAGAAGTCCTGCTTACAAGATCAATACTACACTAGTACTTACATCCTTCGGGAACTGGTATCCTTGAATGACAACTTCCTTCTCTGCAATAATCCGTGCGTTGGTGGGGACCACCGGATAAAGCCTTCAAAGGAGGAAGTGGCAGATCAGTGGACAGCATTGAACATCAGGAAGAGGCCCCTAATGACCTAGGCCAGCAATCACAACCCTTTTGGGTTTGGCGTGCATCATAGGTTCATCACCTAGGCCAGCTTGATGACCTTAGACCAGTCACTCATTCTTGGCCCTAGGAAGGAGGCAATGGCAAAACCACTCCTGAAAAACCTTGCCAAGAAAACTGCAGAGGTTAGTCCAAGAGGTTTTACAGGTCAACAATTGACTCAAATCCATTCAAATAAATCGAAGGGAGGAAAGAACCCCCTTTTTAGTCAAGAATGCCAGGTGCTAAGGGAGCATTGTAAAAATGTGATTATAGTGTGTTATATTAACTGGCAGAAAAATCCTGACCCAGCTAGAAAACGGGACAATTTCCTTTCAGACTTGTGGTTATCAGCAGGGGTGGGATTCAAATTTTTTAACAACCGGTTCTGTGGGTGTGGCTTAGTTGGTGGGTGTGGCCAACTCAATATCACTCACATCGAGGCATGCATCTCCTCGCCTGGCCTCTCATGACTGTGGGGATGCTGCAACAGTTGTAAGTGTGAAAAATGGTCATAAGTCACTTTTTTCAGTGCCACTGTAAATTTGAATGGTCACTCCACACAAGCAAAGTACCAGCAAAGGAGGGGGGGAAAACCTCCAGAGAAGTTCCAGAGACAGGAAGTCAAGTCCTGCCAAGAATGTAATAAGGGTTAACGGAGAGGCAGCTGGAGTCTTAGTGGACAACCAGCTATATGAGCCAGCAGTGTGCAGCCACCACCAAAAAAGCTAATGCAATCCTGAGTTGTATTAACAGAGGGATACAGTCAAGATCAAGGAAAGTATTAATACCACTCTATAAAGCCTTAGTAAGACCACACCTAGAGTACTGCATCCAGTTTTGGTCACCACATTATAAAAAAGATGTTGAGACTCTAGAAAAAGTACAGAGAAGGGCAACCAGGATGATTAGGGGACTGGAGGCTAAAACATAGAATGAACGGTTGCAGGAACTGGGCTTGGCTAATCTAGTAAAGAGAAGGACCAGGGGAGACATGATAGTGGTCTTCCAATATTTGAAGGGCTGCCACAGGGAGGAAGGGGTCAAACTATTTTCTAAAGTGCCTGTAGGCCAGACAAGGAATAATGGATGGAAACTGAACAAGGAGAGATTTAACTTGGAAACAAGGAGAAACTTTCTGACAGTGAGAACAATCCACCAATGGAACAGCTTGCCCTCAGAAGTTGTGGGAGCGCCATCACTTGAGACTTTCAAGAAGAGATTGGACTGCCATTTGTCAGAAATGATGTAGGGTCTCCCGCTTGGGCAGGGTGTTGGACTAGATGACCTACAAGGTCTCTTCCAACTCTGATTATCTGTATCTGTAAGCAACCCCAGAATGTTTCCTTCCTGCCTTCCTTACAGGATTAGGCCAGTAATTTCTTCTAACAACCAGTTCTCCGAACTGCTTAGAATGTTAACAACCAGTTCTAGTGAATAGGTGTGAACTGGTAGAATCCCACCCCTGGTTATCAGGACCCAAGACTACCTTAATGGCACACATACACAAATATGAAAGCCACAGAAAGGCCCTCAGAACCACACATTAAAAACTGGGTTGTGGGGGAATACTGTACTAGTTTCTAGCAGCTGACAAATATTCTTTTTGTGCTTCATGGTTTCCTGAACACATCAGGTGAGCCACTGTCTCACCCAGAATTTTGCATCTGCAAGACTTCCAGCCTTACATTCCCATAAATGCAGGTAGTCCTCAACATGACCAACTTACCTTGGAGTTATTTACAACTCAGATTTGAAGTTCTGACAGTTGCTCCTTCCCCCCACAGTCACAACCTTGAGAAACTCAGCAATATAACTGTATTTAAGCTGTTTGCAGTATCCTTCAGTCACGTGACTGTTTTACCATAGTTTTGTTGAAAAGCGGCATTTCCAGTTTTCAGCAAAACTGTGCTCACAGCAAACAATTGGTTCACTGAATGCCCACGGTGATTCGCTTAGCAACCACCACATAAAATTGGGTCATAATAATGGTGTAGGGTCCATTATGGTTGCAATATGAGATCTGTCGGTAGTTTCTTAAAAACCCAGGCTGCAAAGCTGCAATAGTAGCCACTCTATCCTTGATCTGAGGTTAAGACTGCATCCGGCTTCTTTGCTCAACCATAGAGAGGCTCCTACCTGAGAGTCTCCTTAATTATCGCCTTAAGCAGAGGCATCTTGTTGATGACCTTGGCTTCAGGAATTTGGTCTGGGGATACCACATTGGCTATTTCCTGGTATAAATCTTCCTGGATGTCTGGGTTTCTAGCCAGGTGGTACAAGCACCAAGACAGAGTATTGGATGTCTGAAAAGACCAAACGAGAGATGGAAGGTGATAGACTTCCGCTCTGGGCAGGGGAATGAACAGACAGGTGTGACGACATCATCACAAACGCTATGACTTATGTCAGACGCTGGGATGCCCATGACATTACTCAAGGTCAAAGGATCAGAAAATGGAATAGAAAGGCTCTCTGGAAATGAGCAAATTACTGCCATTTAAAATGGCCAACAACTGTGCATCACCATGGGTCTTGCGGAGTGTGTTAGTATGAAAATATAGTAAATAAAACAGGCAATTCAACAAGTAGATAAAAAGAAATCTGTCTTTGTACAAAATAGCTTCCTATTTTTGCTCTAGAAGAATACTCTTAAACATCTGGTGCAGTCATAGCAAACGTTTGGGCTCAGTGTGTCAAAAATGTGGAAAATGCCTAACTTGATTCTGCTCCCATGCCATACATGCACACACATACTAAACCAAAGATAAACAATTCTCTATTGCCCCAACCTCCCTGTTCTAAGCCACCCTGTACAGTGGCACGGTGGGGCAAATGTTGAGCCTGAAGTAGAGGTCCAGGTCTTGGACTTCAGCCTTAGGGCCCTGCTGCCATTCGAAAAGGCCATTTCATACAATTCCTCATTTCCCCTGCCCAGGATCTGCCACATAACTGCTTATCTTTACATGATGTTTTCTTTCTGTTGACAGGTCCCTGCAGTTTATCTGAGGCTGCTGTGGGTCGCACGAGGCCTTTGGTCTTGAATCAGCTGCAGAGAATGGTCTCCAGTGGCTTCTGCAAACTCTGAAAACTGTATTGAAAGCGTATCTCATTCTCACATGATTTTCAGAAGGTCCAGAGACTGCATGGACTCATGTCCATTCTCATGTAGCTTCTTCAGCCTCAGAAAATCACAAGAGAACAGAGCATGCTTTCAAGAATAGTCGCCGGATCATAGTGAACATTGGCGAAACATTGTAGTGTGTCATCTTTGACACTCATGAGTCGCCATCACTATTCTAGTGCATTTTGGGGCTTTCAAGCAGTAGTGTGAAGGAATATAGGCTGATCAGCAGGTGACCACATGCTCAACAATATGACAAGTGTTTGCCATCACTTTTGCTCCTCAAGCGTCAGGGCACCCGTATTGGAAGAATAGGTAGTCAATGTCCTACCGTGTCAACACCAGCCAATAGCAGCTCTGCTATGCTTCCATATATCTCTTCATGACTAAGTTGCCCACTGGTAAGCAAGTATGTCAAGTATCCTGAAACTTCCTCACCCTGTTCCAGACGCTTCTCTAAATCCAAAGTCTTCTGATCAATCAGTTTTTTTCCTACAGCATGAAAGAGCTTCGGTTACTGACGGTTCACAATATTGAGACGAGCAAGACAATGTCCATTATAATGGACAGGTATTCATCCATTGATTACTTGGCTATGCAAAGTAGCTTAAAGAAAATACAAATTTCCCAAGAGGAACACAGACAAATGTCAGCTCCTGGGATGAAATCAAGCTGATTTGACTAGAAATCCACAGACTTATTCTCAGATCCCTATCACTCACGTACCAAAGCCAAAGATAATATCCCAGCCTTCTAGGTAGCGGTTAAAGAAAGGCAGCATGTTCCGTGTCCATTTAGGTAGGACGGTGACAAAGACAGAATTCCTGAACATATATCCAATAGCATCAATGAATTTTTTTGTTTCAGTGGGTATCTGTTTCTCTAGGCAGCCAATGCGGGTCTCAAAAAGAATATAGGAGATACCTGGAAGTAAAAAATACATGAGTCATATAATTATGCACAATGGCAGCCAGTAGGAAAATAAAACCTGGAGTCTTGAAAGAAATGGGTCAGATAAAGATGAGATGTGGGAAGAGTGCCATTAGTCATAATGAAAGGTGTTCTGGTTATGCTTCCAATTTGTAAAGAAGTACTGAAATGGATGACAGTCCAGTGAGCAGGATATACTGTACAGTGGCCATACTGATAATCAGGCAACATTTGTAGACAGTTGACTCAAACTCTCCAAGGAGGGATATTCTCCCTGCTTGGAAGCATAGTGTCTATTCAGAAGGCTGTTTCATGTTAAGGCATCTTTCAGCTTATGCTTCCAGAGATGCTATATTTCAGCTCCCTTAATGCCCTATCCAGCAATTCAGTTTCATAAATAAAAATGGGAAACTTTACTTGAATTTGTGATAAATTACTTTGGCTGAATCCCACCAGTTAACATTTATTCCCTTTATATCTTTGTGGGGATAGCTAGCTAGCTAGCTACCGTGTTTCTCACAAAATAAGGCCAGGCCTTTTTTTTTTTTGACCCCCGAAAAAATGGCTAGGCTGTCTTTTGGGGGGTGACTTAATTTCCCCCCCCCTTGCATCCTCGGGTGGGCGGGCAGCGATGGCTTGGATTTTGACCTCGGTGCTGGTGGGGCACTTCGTATCGGGAGACCTTCCGCCACCGTTGCTTTCACTTCTCCCCATGCTGCCGTTGCGTTTAGGGCAACACCGTGGCGTTTGGCACAGCCATGCACAGCCAGCCAGGACTCCTCTCTGCAACCGGAGCCCAGCGGAGACACTCGGCTTCAGGCGCTCCTGTCACTGCCTTCCCTTCGCCTTCGAAGGCAAAGCCAATTCTTTTAAAAACGACGCCCTACTACTGGTACGACAAAGCCTCCCCTGCCCAAGAGGGCAGCCCAACCCCATGTGGGGAGGTGAATCTCCTGGGGCCACAGTGCAGGATCGGCCCACCCCGGAAGAAGCGCCCAGCCACCATCCCTGCCTGGCGCTGGGCAGAGCGTGAAGAGCTTTGCCTGGGGCGCCCAGCGCAGCTGACAGGTGGGCCCTCCTGCCCGGTGGCAGAGCTCTCGCCAAGGTAGCAAGCGCCTCCCCGCTGAGCCCTCCACTCATCCCGCTAGGGCCTGGATTTTTCCTGCTTTTTGGCACCACAGATTAACCAATTTTCTTCCTACAATGTCTATGAGGAACAGCCTAGCACAGGGGTGTCCAACCTTGGCAACTTTAAGACTTGTGGACTTCAACTCCCAGAATTCCGCAGCCAGCTTTGCTGGAATTCTGGGAGTTGAAGTCCACAAGTCTTAAAGTTGCCAAGGTTGGAACCCCTGGCTTAGCAGAAGGAATGTAATCTCCCCCCTCTGCTGCAGTTCTAAACAAAATACTTCTGCATGCAACTTTTTCTCCTGCTGCAACCACAATAATAAGAAAAGGAATTTTCTTCGTGAATTTTGTGGAAGAAGGAAGAAACAATTTTCTCCTTGGTGCACGCAGCAGTGATAATGTTCAACCTTACATTTGATCCTACTTCTTTTTAAAATCAAACCAAACCAAATCCTGCCAAAGGTCATAAGATCTCATATTCCACTTTATTTTGATTGTGCTCACATGACACACTGAACAAGCCAAACCCATTTTACCCTAGCTGTTGTGCACGCATAGTTTGTGCAGCTATTTTATTGTTTGGTGTCATAGAACTTCCAAAAGCTCACATGACTTAGTAAACTGTGGCTAAATAAGACATAAGAGCATCACCTACAAGAAACAACCTCAGAACTCAATAAAAGAACTCCTAGTTCATTCATAGTACCACCACAAGCTACAAACGCACCTTCTAAGGCAAATCGGTACAACAGGTTGGCCATATCGTCAACTTTTACTCCCGAGGAACTTTTACTTCTCTCATCTTGAAGGTACACTATGAGATCAGACACCACTTCATTGATGGAATCTGCATAGAGCAAAGCTTCGGAAGGCTTGAGCATCCTCTTGTTCAACACCTGGCGTAGACGGTGCCACCTTTCTCCATCCCTAAGAATGAGAGAGATGTTTTGTTAGCCCTTTGAGGTAGTCCAGACAGGAAGCCAAAACTGTGAATGCTAATATACTATCTGGATCAGTGGTTAATGACACTGAGTGTTGTGGTTTGCCAGCAGCCTGTGCAGATAGCAGAGGAATCGGACAGTGGGGAAGAATGGGGACCAGTCTGGGAGTCTGAAGAGGACTCGGATGAGGGTCCTGTGTCCAATGCAGAGACAGAGCCAGGACCATCTGGGAATGGGGTGCTGACTCTGGAGCCTCCAGAGTCTGGCAGCAGCGAGGCAGAGGAACAAGGGGAGCCTGTTCCCTGTGCGTATATGCGCAGAGCTGCTAGAAGGCAAGAGCAGCTGAGACAAAAGGGACGACTTGGGAGTAAGGCTCAGAGGTGATTGCCCCTCCCATAAGGTATAAAGGATGGGCAAAGGTGATGAAACTTCAAAGTTGCTCGTTCTGTTCAGATTAATCCTTGAAGCTCTGTGTAGACTTTGTACTTCGGTTGGTTTTTTTATAATTCATTTGGCACTCTAGTTGTTGGCAGTAATTCAAAGGAAAGAAAGGTGGGTGCTTATCTCGAGGGACTGTTTGAGACTTATTACAGGCTGGGAATTAACATAATTCCCATCATTGAAATAAAACAAGAATTGTTTTAACTAATTACGGTCTTGGGAAGCCTTCATCAGAACACTGAATTTGTCAGCTGGAAATCTGACAGCCCGGGTTCAAGACCTGAGTGCCGCACAATAGGGTGTGCTCTCATTCTTGCCTCAAATTCTGCCCACCTAGCAGTTTGAAAGCACCCAAATATCAGTGTATAAATAGGCACGGATAGAAAGGAAACCACATTCAGTGCACCTTTTGCGTATAGCTATGCTAGCCACATAACCACAGAAGATGCCTTTGGACAATGCTGGCTCCCAAAGATGAGCAGCCCACCCTAGAGTTGGACACGACTGGACAGGGAAACCTTTACCTTTACTTTATTGTAAGGTTACAGTAAGAGAATCTTGCATGCCTTGAAAGCACTTCTCCCTTCCCTTGCCATTACTTCTCTCAGAAGTAGGGAGGGTCAGTTGTGAGATGCTTTATTAAATTACATTTCTGGTTTGGGCTTAGAGTTCATTTATCAGAGTGTGGTCTAGGCCACAGCTCTTCCTCCTGTCTTCCTCCTTCAGAGGCTATGCTACATGCAGGTTACAATATTCTCACAGGCAGTGGTGGGATTCAAATTTTTTCACTACCGGTTCTGTGGGAGTGGTATGATGGGTGTGGCAGGGGAAGGATACTGCAAAATCTCCAGTCAGAGGTGGGATTTGCCGGTTCTCTGAACTACTCAAAATTTCTGCTGCCAATTCTCCAGAACTAGTCAGAACCTGCTGAATACCCATCTCTGCTCACATTTGGAGCATGTGTGGAATCAGATGAATTACTAGAATCTATTGGGAGAGTTAACTAGCAGGCTTAACTAAATGAGCTAGGTGTAGCTAACTCTCTACTTTGTTTATAGGGCTTCTTTTTTACGCGTGCACATGCACACACACACACACATACACACAAAATTTAGAATTTTTTTCCCCCTCTGTATTTTTTATATTCTAGGTATAGTAAGTTTTTCTTCTTTTTCTCTTCAAGACACCTTTTTCTCATACAGGTTAAGCTTCTATGTATTTTTATATAGAAGTGTATATGTTTTATTTGTGTTTGTGAATATAGCTACACACACACAAACATACACTCCCCCCATAACCCACAAGTCATGACATTTCTTTTAAAGAAAGAGTAATTGTACTCTTTTTGAAATTTAAGAAAAAATAAACAACTCATCAGCAGTCATATTAATCTAAAATATAGAGGGTACCAACTGAATAGAAGACATTTGAAGAATTTGCACAGTACTTTGATCTACTGTAATGCTAAGACTTACATGACATTTCTGGGAAAAATACTGTTTAAATAATATTTATACCTTCCCCCTTACAGATTCAAGCCAGGTACCATGGCTGCACAAATCATGCTCAGAAATTACTCCTAAGAAGTTTAATTCAGCTTCCCCAAAGAAACGAGTTGCTCTGAGTTAATTATACAAGCATTCTCTGGAACTCAAATGAAATGTGAGTTGTTCTTCCACATATTTGAGAAACATAACACCTTCTGTGACTGCTAGGCAGGCTTAAGTTTTCTTAATTTTGCCTAAGGAAAGGTACACATGTCATGGTACGGGTTGTATTGGGGCTAGCCAATACAGTAATTAGCTTTTTTTGAGGCATAGTAATTGATTTGTTTTCATTCTTACGTGCAGATTATAGATTAGCTTTGGGCGTAGTTGCACGTTTATGTGAATTTGTATTAGAAGTCTGTTTGTTTAATTAATTTCTGGATAGATTTGTGGTAGGCAACTGCTTGACACTCACTCAGTGAAAGGGCCGTACGATAAGTGCCGTATGTCTCGATGCTCCTTCCAAAGGCTCATGTCACTCCGCACTGGGTATTTTCCCTCCTGACGTAGCAGCTCCTCCAAGATTTCAGGACTTCCAATATTAATATTAAGATAAGAACCAACAACAGATTTCCATATGGGGCCATACCTTTTCTTGGAAATGATCTAGAATAGAAAAAATAATGAGGTCATTTGGAGGCTGTCAAAAAAGTGGGATATATATTTGTGTGTGTTTATGTGCATGCACGCACATAGGTCATTCATCGCTCAGTGGAATAATTGTGAGAGTCAAGTTAGTCAGTTATTTGGACTGATCCAGTTCTTCAAGCAAGAAATCAGTGTAGGAGCTTGGCAGGGAGAAACCTTATTCTTTACTTTACCTTCTCTCTCTCTCTCTCCCTCTCCCTCCTTCTCTCCCCCCCTCTCAGCTAAGAAAGAGTGGCAGATAAATTAGGGGTTGAGGCCTGTCAAAACTCTTGCCAAGCTCAGCAATGCTAGCTTCCTGCATGGTTTTTCTCTTTCCCCTCATGAAATATGAGCACTGCAGCAAAGAGAGAGGGTGTGGGTAAGAAACTAGGAAAGAAACAAAAATGAGAGGAAACATGGCTGCTGGCTGTGGAATGTCAAATTCAATACTAAAACAATTGGTTTATGTTATGGATGAATGCAAGTGATAAGTAACACGTTTGAAACATTTCTCTTTTGAGTTGCAGGCAACGCCCCCCCGTAACCACTTTCTGCACTTTCTTGCCTGTTCCTTTGTCCAAAAGCTCAATCTGAGCTGTTTCTAGAATAGGGATGAAATCGATCTGAAGATACAATGAGTTCTCGTTTGTATGAAGGTTTAAGAAAAGAACCACAGGGATTCCCCTCCCCCTCTCTTCTCTGGGAGGCTTCAATGATATCAACATTTATCAATGTATATTTCTAGCTAAACACAGGATTATAATTTACAAGATGGTTTTTGTATCAAACCGGGAGTGTAACTAATGCTCTCCAAAGGGAAACCTACAGGCCCCAAACAGTGGAGAAATTGGGGCATGACCTTCTACCTGAGCTGCAAAAGTGGGAACTCACGGCATTAGATGATGGAAGCCTTATGCCTTCATCCCCAAACCCTTACATGTCTTTACTCTTTGTTCTCACCTGATGTGGCTATTCTTAAAAAGAAAGTCATGCTATGAAACTTGAATTGAAGTGGCCTAATTTTTGTAACAATTCACAACCAGCCTCACACACTGACTAAGCTATTTAGTTACTACACAGATTCTTAGTAGCTAAGAGAGACGCTGGCAGCTTTCCCAAAAATAAATGTTTTCTATGAAAACAGCCTTTGTTTTTTTGTTCCTTGCACTTCTGCAGTTTCACTGTTGGTTGAATTCAAAGGAGGTCCCTGAGGTCCAATGTGCGTACAGCCTGTCATGTCAAAAAGCCATTATTGTGCCTATCAGATTATGATATTTGTTAATACTTTGGGATATTCTAAAAACAAACAAAGAATCTCCAACCTGGTATTTAATAACATATAATTATATTTGCTGAATTGTTGTTTCATCTTGCTCAATCGTGTTTGGCACTTATTTCCCTACAGGAGCAGACTATGGATTCTGTAGTAATAAAGCCAACGAATTGCATACGCTGTTTTTCAAACATGATATTCCCAGCCCATGTTTAGTACACTGTCATGTCTTATCTGCTGTGGCGCAATAAAACTGCCTTTTTGTAATCTGTTAATCTGGAACCCAGCACTTTAATCTGTACATCTGAACTTCTTGCAACAGTCTGTTAGGGAAAGCAGAGAAAACAAGTTAAGTTCCGAAAAATCAGGCTGGTAAGTAGCCAGTGCTGATAAAGAAATTCAAATATTTTTCTTGGTTTTAAGTGAAAAGGCAGATGAAATGTTTATTCTAGCCTACCCTCTGGGTCCATTTTCTCTCTTGAGAATTTTTCCAATATCCTTTTTGTATAGGGAATCAAAAAAACAGAAGGCATCTAGTAGGAACTGTTGTTATTAACATATTTTATTAAATTAACTTTTTGTGAGCAGAGTCCTCTTAGTTTTTCACTGCCATAGACTGTTCTTCTATCATGTTTATATTTAGTGTAAAGGAGGGAAACATTATTCTGGGAGTTGAAGTCCGCCAGGCTTAAAGTTACCAAGGTTAGAGACCCCTACCTTAGAACAGGGTTGTCAAACTCACATTGTCACTGCAGTATCGGGACTCCCCCCACTTCATTAAACTGGGCATGGGTGTGATGCATCCAGTCCTTGAGCCCAGAGTTTGACAGCCCTGCCCTAGAAGATCCTTCCCCAACTGGTGCCCTTCAGCTATTCAGATGCAATCCACCTGCATCAAGATGGCTATGGAATGTAATTATTTGATATCTGGTTAACTGAACATTTGAGGGCATCAGCTGGGGAAAATTTCTCCTGGAGCAATGCTCCACCTAGGAAAATGCAAAGTCAACTGCCGATGTAAATCTGCAAGCCCATACACATTTATCTACATTTAATTAATATTTAAAATGACATGTCTCTGAGTAGATACATAAAATTATCAAGGAATCCTCTGCTCATTTGAAACTTGGCAGTTTTAATTTCTGTTTGCATAAAAAGCCCAGAAATGTGAACTTCCTTAATGCCTTCCTGTCACATTTTGATTGACATGGTTCATTGTTTTAATACTTTCTTCTGGCTCAACTCTTTATAACTTGTTGAATTCCAGAAGCAGTGCCATGTGCCGTTGGTATTGGAATGCTGACGCCCAAGTTTCATTTGATCTACCAACAGTCACCTCCCAAATTATTGCAAATAATGGGATGGAGCCCATTAAACCGTTAGAAGGAACATGTGTTGTTGCCAGGGTGGGAAGGTGGAGGACTATTTTATTTTTATTTGTTTCTTTTATACAGTGTTTTTATATTTTTGTTAGCTGCCTTGAGTTGCCATGTACTAGTAGGTGGAACTATAAAATTTCTAATTAAATATAAATACATAAATAGACATAAATAATTATGCCTTTGGTGGGGTCTTTGGTGGTCCCAGAGCCTGCTTGTTTTCTTCCAGACATTCTGCAAGAAAGTGAGGGAACATTTTCTGTAGCACTGATGATGTTACCCAGTTAGGGTAATGAAACGTCTGCAAGAAAAGAAGCCAGCTCAGAAAGCACCAAGGACCCCTCATGTCAACCCTGAGCTGCAAATATTCTCCTTTAAATACGGCTTTTATCAGAGGGGGTACTCAAACTCAAGCGCATCTGAACATAAGCAGAGTGGCTTTCTCCTCTCCATCCTGACCCTTCCCTAAGTCACTTCGGTGAATAACAACAACAACAACAACAACAACAACAACAACACGAGCTGGGATCACCCCCGAAGCAGCAAAAACAGAGCTCCATTCTTCGGTGCTCAGCTCTTAGTGCTCCAGCAGCATCCGGTGTCCTTTCGGGCCCGATGGCTGCCTGCCTGCGTTTTCCACGACAATTATTTGGCTCGTTCGCTCATCTCCAGGCGGCCGTGCAGCCTTCTGGCTACTTGAGACGAATGATGTCGGTAAAGAGAGCCAGGCCGTTCCCTCCAGAGGACCTCCCCCCCCCACACACACACAACGACCACCACACATACCGCCCCGGAGACATCCCCGGTGGCCTCAATCACCTGAAGTTGGTGCATGTGCAGCAAGTAGCCTTTCACGAAGAGCCAATAGAGGGTCCCAAGGGACCCCGTTCCGGGCAACTCCTCCGGGCTCTTTAGCCGCTCTTCATGCCGGGGGATCGAAGCTGCCTGTGCAGCGTTGGAAGCAGCCCTCCAAAGGGGAGCCGGGCGGGGTACTTCGGACGGCGACCTCAAGCAGCGACCCAGCCTCCCGGCAAAGCCGCTCCACTTCCCCATAGCGCGGCTGGGTCGACTGAGCAGAGAAGGTAAGTGGAAAACAGGAAAGGAAGCGCGGGAGGAGCTGTCCAAAGACGTAAGAATGGAGCGGGGGGGTGGGGAGAGGGGGGGGAAATAGAAGCGGGCGGACACAAGTTAGTGCAGTAAGAACCATGGATTCTTCATGGACTCGCTTTCCCAAGAGGCCGTGGGCGGGCGACTCAGGGTCAAAACCAACCCTTCCCCGCCCATCACCTGTCGGATCTGGACAGGGAGATGAGGTTGCGTTCGGGTTGTTTTGAATCGCGGCGCCGAGCTCTACCAGTTGCGGAAGATTCGGCCCTGCAAAGGCTGGCGTCACGAGTTCCTTCTCTCGGGATCAGAGTAGAGGCGACTATGACAATGACCTTCCGTTCAAAAACCCGTCCCGGGTCCTCCCACGCCTCCTTCCTTTTCTGCCTGTTAAGGGACAATTCGCACTGTGGGGCAACCCAGTGGTGGATTAAGGCTCACTGGTGCCCTAAGCACTGACACATCTTGGTGTCCCCCCCCCCCACTCCTGTACAAACGAAGCCATATTCTCAACTTTGTGGTGCCTCCTTTGGGCCTGGTGCCCTAAGCACGGGCTTAGTCTGCTTAATGGTTAATGCACCACGCGGGCAGCCGAAAAGTTAGTATTTGTCCTAGCAAAGGGTACTGAGGTTCTAGGAATCTAGCTTCCTTCGGTTTAGGGTGGGCTAGAAAATTGTAGCAAAACAAACCGAAGGAGCCGCACAATTCAGCATCTTAATCCCAAATCGTCTCTCCGAACTGAAGCAAAACACTGAACGCAGCATTTGATAATGGAAAGATGCCTAAAAGGTTCCCCACACTATTAGGATTAATATTACCAGAGAAACCTCATTTAAAAAGGTGAGAGTTGCTGGCATGCAGAAGAATCAGCTTTTCTCTGAAGGCAGCATGATAAATAAGTGGCAAATTCTCTTTCTGTTTCCTTCTTTCAGCTTCTTGCATGAAAAATACAATACGTTAGCTCACGGTCTAAAGCAGAAGTGTCAAACTTGATTTCATTGAGGGCCACATTAGAGTTGTGTTTGACTTGGGGGGAGGGGCTGGGAGGGGAAGGGCTTGGGGAGGCATGGCCAATATGACATCACTCACGTGGTGGGGGGAGGGTCTGTAGCAGCCCAAGAGCTCTGCTAGCAAAACTCCGTTTTTGGCTGGGACAGTCTCCTGCAACCCTCTGCCAGCAAAAATAGAGCTAGGGAGAGCTACATTTTTACTGGCAGAGGCACCACTGGCTGGTCTTCACTGTTTCTATGGTGGTCCCGCAGGCTGGATCTAGCTCCCAGGCCTTGGGTTTGACGCCCTTGGTCTAAAATAAAACAATGCATCTGCCTGTAAGGAAGCTATACATGGAAGGAGGACATTTAAATGTCCACATGTGATCTTATACGCCTACATCCTCATGTGGAGGTGAGGTTGAGGCTGCCTTAAGCTGAGCTGAATTCCTCATAAGGACATGGACAAGTGATATAGTATTCTACTGGAGGGAAATTGTTTGCCAATACCTTTTTCTGACATGTTGTTTTTTACTTCCCAATCTACCCTGCAATCCTGAGCTTCTCTGATGACCTTCATCCTCACCGCACCCATTGACATCCAAACCTTGCTTAGATTTATTTTTTTTTTTGCTTTGAGATCAGCAATGTGCTACCGCTTGCTGGGACATCATTAGGCATCAGAATGACTGTAACTAGAGAATCCAAGTTCGTAAGCTCATTCTGCATCAATAACCCGAAGGCAGGCAAAGTCGTAAAAGAACTCTACTGTTTCAGACTTGCTAAAATCCTTTTTTATTTAATTGCATCTATAGTTTTGCCTTGAATAGCAGCATTCTCCATGCGCGCAAAGATCAGTCCACTTTCTGGAAGAGGGGAGAGGACTTTGATTTTGCAAGAATTAAATTAGAAACCGAATCGCTATGGAAAATGAATACCTTAGTTATTATCGGGTAATATATAATCTTAAAAAGAAAGAAATCTCCTCCCTTCTTTTTTTCTTTAGTCTCTTCCACCCGCCCCTCCCCAACGCCACCATACTGGTTCTTTTCCATCTTCAGGGATTGGAAAGAAAGGAACTGAGTTTCAGCTGAAACCCAAGAGACTTGCTCTGGTAATTAATAAACATGTCTCAGCTTGTTTTAAAATGGATGGTTGCAATTCTGTCAATTTATATTCTCCCTGGATTTGTTTACGTTTTTCATTTTTTTTAATATTAAACTTTATTGAAAATTTAAAACATTAAAATACAAAACAAATATTTAAAATGAAAGTGTTGCGTATATTACAATCTATTTTGACAGTGCTTACATTTTAATTGTTATTCCAGTGTGTATTTTATACTCCTAATTCTTCGTATATATTTATATATGCATGTATGTGTGTGTGTGTGTATACACACACACACACACACACACACACACACACATATGTATATTCTTCTAAATTATACATTCCTTATTTATTTAATTGCTTGTTTCTATTATTTATCCAATGATACCAGTTTTCCCAAACTGTATAATAATCTGAATCTTCCTTCTCTTTTAATTCTAATGAAAGTTAGTCCATTTCCACGCAATCAAAAATCTTTTGGATAATTAAATTATCTGTCAGCATAGAATCTCCTTTCCAATATTGTGCAAGTGCTAATCTCGCTGCTGTTATTATATGCAGGACATATTACATATAAAATATAATTACATATTTCATCTCTTTCATATAATTCCCTTTGATAATTCCCAGGATTTGTTTACTTTAATCATTATGCATATCATGATCACTTGGGTACATATGGAATAAAAGGAATATACCATCTCTGAGTATATTCTGTTCTATCTCGCCTGTTTCAGGGTGGGGAAGGAAGATGAGGGGAAAAAATGGGGGAAATTTCCAAACATAAAGACAATCCCATCCAAAATATGAATTGGTATTTGAGGCGATCATCTGGATCAATACAGGTAGTGCTTGACTTACAACAGTTCATTTAGTGACCATTCAAAGTTACAATGGCAGTGGAAAAGGTGACTCATGGCCAATTTTCACAGTTCCAACCTTTGCAACACCCCTATGGTCACGTGACAAAAATTTGGATGTTTGGCAACTGATTCATACCCTATTTATGACCTTTGCTATGTCCCAGGAACATGTGATCACCTTTGGCAATCCTCTGACGAGCAAAGTCAATGGGGAAGCCAGATTCACTTAACAACCGAGATACTAATTTAACAACTGTTGTATTCACTTAACAACTGTGGCTTGAAAGCAGAGGTGGTTTTCAGCAGGTTCTGACCAATTCTGGAGAACAGTAGTGGAAATTTTGAGTAGTTTGGGGAACTGGAAATTCTACCTCTGACTGGCCCCGCCCCCATCTATTCTCTGTCTCCAAAGTCCCAGCTGATTGGCTGGGTCTTCTTTGGTTGCCCTGCACAGGAGAACAGAGCTGGAAAGCAGGTTGGCTGGCCCCTAGGATGGGTAGGGAGGGAATGGAGATTTTGCAGTATCCTTCCCCTGCCACGCCCACCAAGCCATGCCATGCCCATCCAGCCACACCCACAGAACCAGTAGTAAAAATTTTTGAATCCCACCACTGCTTGAAAGATCACAAAAAGGGGACAAAATTAAGTGTTTCACTTAGCAGCAGAAATGTTGAGCTCAATTGTCCTAAGTTGAAGACTATCTGTCTTTTAAATTCAAGTTATAATATAGGTAGTCTTTGCTTGACAATGGCAATTGGGACTGGCAACCATATCAACAGTGATGTGGTTGTTAAGCAAGACCTCGTGTGACCACAACTTGTGATTTTATTGCTTGTTGGAAGCTAGGTCTGAAGGGTGCAAAGGGTGATTACGAATGACGCAGGACACTGTGATGGTTGTAAAAATCTGCCAGCTGCAAAGCACCCAAATCTCACTCCTATGACCATGTGGTCACCGCAACAGTCACGTGAAGCATGGCCATACAGTTAACTTTTTCAGCACTGTCAAAAATTTGTATAGTCGCTAAACAGGGCAGTTGTTAAGTGAGGACTATGCGTACAAGTATTTAGCTAAAATATAACTTTAACAGATATTTTAATTATTTGGGATTCCCTTCATACTCATATTGACCATTCATTTCAACTGGGAAAAAAAAACGCTTCAGTATTGGATGCAGTAGGCCAAAAGTCTGAGGCTCCCAGAAACATTCTCTATCCACTCTTCTGAATTTTTCAGAGAATAGGCCTGCCTAAAAGCAATGCAAAATAATGAAATGAAATGTAAAATAAAACAATTGGTGGGACCCATAGCTCAAACAAGATACTAAGCAGACACAATCTAAGTGTGTTAAATTCCAGAGGCCTAGAACTAGCCCTTGACCTGTGGCTCCAGTGTTTTTGCTGCTCTGCGATTGATGTAGCTAATTGTTAACTCCGGTTATCAGTCAGTTTGATTCTGAAGCTTTATTTAAGGGGCAAACTTTGTCCTGGAGACTCCCTTGAACCCATGTAATCTACCTGGCATCTAATTTCCCCCTTCATTCTTAAAAAGTAATTAAGGTCATCATTGGGTACATGCAGTAAAGCTGCACTATCATTGCATTTAGACAAAGCTATATATTGCTTTCCAGCTGCTTACACATCATTCAAAAACATGGCACATCTGTCAGACATAAAGGTAAGGAACCCTTAGGTTTTAATTAAAATTACAATTTAACTGGCAATGAAAAATGAAGGGAAAGACAGAGCTCCAAAGTAACCTTAGTGCTTTGCATACTCTGAGGGATTTGTGTGTGTGTGCTTTCAAGTCAGTTTTTTTGGGAGGTAGATGGGGTGCTTTCAAATACACAGAATGTTGCTCTTTCTGCTTCAGCCCAAATGGAACCTCAGGACATAGGAAGTACTGAATGTTGCCAGGAGGCAGTGGTGGGATTCAAAAATTGTTTACTACCGATTCTGTGGGCATGGCTGGGTGGGTGTGGCAGGGGAAGGAGGCTGTAAAATCTCCATTCCCACCCCAGCCCAGCCCAGCACCCT